TGGTAGTGTAGTGTGGTGTATCTTATTTAAGATACACCACACTACACTACCATCTTAAATAAGATGCACCACACTGCACTACTATCTTAAATCAGATGCACCACACCACACTACCATCTTAAATAAGATGCACCATGCTACACTACCATCTTAAATAAGATGCACCACACTACACTACCATCTTAAATAAGATGCACCACACTACACTACTATCTTAAATAAGATACACCACACTACCATCTTTAATAAGATGCACCACACTACACTACCATCTTAAATAAGATACACCATGCTACACTACCATCTTAAATAAGATACACCATGCTACACTACCATCTTAAATAAGATACACCACACTACACTACCATCTTAAATAAGATACACCACACTACACTACCATCTTAAATAAGATACACCATGCTACACTACCATCTTATATAAGATACACCACACTACACAACCATCTTAAATAAGATACACCACACTACACTACCATCTTAAATAAGATACACCATGCTACATAACCATCTTAAATAAGATACACCACACTACACTACCATCTTAAATAAGGTACACCACGCTACACTACCATCTTAAATAAGGTACACCAAACTACACTACCATATTAAATAAGCTACACCAAACTACACTACCATATTAAGTAAGGTACACCAAACTACACTACCATCTTAAATAAGGTGCACCCCAATGTACTACCACTATGGTAAACATACACTTTGGTACAACGCAGCATGCAGTTCACTATAACATATGAATTGGGTCTGCATTAACTTGCTGTATGTTGCTTGATAAATTCTTGGCTTAATGCTACTCTTTAAGATTTACACAAAAAAACTCACAAAAGCTCCCCTTCAAAACCAAACCAAATATAGGTGGACGACATCTTAGGCGAGGAGAGCGACAATGAAAGCGAGAGCCAAGGGAAGGAGAGGATGGATGCCAAGGTGACGGACGATGTAGAGGACGAACGGCAGCAGCCAGGAGGTGGACAGACGCCTGGGAGAAAACCTGGTCCTTCAGAGGAGAGTCTTCAGACGTCTTCCAGTGACACATGTCTGTCCCAAAATGTTCAAAGGTGAGAACCGTCACCGTTTCTCTCACTGAGCTGGATGTTTTCATGTCTTTACCACAGTTCCACCAGCACATCTTCTGGAGTGAAATTATTTAACTGACTCTAGACATCATCTACCTAAATGTCTTATTGTCTCAGTGTCCCTGGTGTCAACACTCAGTAATCACATTGTATAAAGCCCTCCTGGTGGGACGAATGCTTACCTTAAGTCCACCTTGCAAATGTGCTGCATATTTCCATTTCTCTGTCAGTGGCTATTATCGAAACATGCCACTTCATCAGTGTGGCTATGTTGAAGCCAGACGGTCTGGCCTGTTGCCATGGAAACTAATTCCAAACAGACAGCAGGCAGTTGCAGATTTCAGAACATAATTATGAGAATCTTGTGCTGCTGAACTGTCTGTCTGCCAGGACTCCGTCTGTCAGCAGATCCTTTTACTGTCTTTGCTGCGGTCTGACCAGAGGGAGTATTTTAAAATACTTTTACAGTGTTTACACAAATCCAAAGCTTGGATGTTTCTCAATGCTTTTGTGTGTTTGTGTGAACAGTTTCAATATTTCATTGTACTGATGTGCCGCCAGATAAGTGGGCAGCAGCTTTATTTATAGGTTGGCGTTTTTTCTTCTCAGGTTTGTCTTGTTTTTATTAAACGAGTGCCTATGCTTTTTTCCTAGAGGACATATCTTTGCTTTTAAAGAAAGTTGTTGATTACTGTCAGGACATTCAGATTGGATGGGTCTTTTGTTAAGAAAGTATTATATTGAGTAAAGTTACTTTAGTAACCCAAGGGTTGTGTTTGGAGGGACAATTAAAAAGTCTCATCGTATTTTAATTTGTTTTTGCAGCAAAGCTAAAAGAGAATATAATAAATGAACAATGTCCACTCAAATGAAAACCAGTTCTGCTTTTTAGACTAATGGTTTTCAAAGTTGACCTTGCAACATTTTGCATTTGCTGTTGTTGTTGTTTTATAACATGTCTAAATAAATACCTCCACCTAAGCCTAAAACATCAAAAGGCTGCTAATAGCTCCGTTTCTGTATCATCACGTGTAAAATGTGCTGTCGTCACAGAGCAGGACATGCTTTAACAAATGAACTCAAACCACCACATTACAATTGTGCTGCTTAAAAACAACAAATAAAAGTCATATATTTTCCTGTTTAAACTGAATTTTCATAGTGACATTTAAATCCATTATCCAAACTCCAAAAGATTCAAAGAAAAGTTAAATATGCTGAAAAATATGACAAAGACAAATGGAGGTAATCCATTAGCAGCTAATTTATCAGCTTTTTGGTGTTACAGAGAAGCTACTAATGTTTTAATATATAGTTTTTACCTCTTAGGGTTTTAAAAAAAATCTTTTTTTATGTTAAATTAAGTAATTTTGCCCAGCTGTTAATGTTAATGAATGTAATATTTATATCTGAATAAGATGACAACTTAGCCAGCAGACTGACGAGCTACAGCCTCAAATCAAACGGTTACTTTCTGACTTTCATTCACATCTGTCCAGAGGTTCACACACACACACAGTCACATGAACACCAGCCACTATGAAAAGAAGTCAATTATGTACTAATTACATTTATATATTTGGACTAGGGATGCACAATATTGGATTTTTGGGCGATATCTGATATGTCGATATGTTAAAATTTATTTGGCCGATACCAATACCATCCCCCCAATCCCACTTACAGAGACTACATAGCTTTCTCTGCTGTGGAATTAAATTACTACATTACTCTTCATGGTCTTTGTCAATTTGGCCTGATACCAAATACAGATGGCAAAAAGGGGCTGAAAATGATGTAACATTTCAACTTGGATTATGTTTAATGTCAAATTTATTCATGATATTTACTCTAACACAATGACAACACTCGAGCAGTGTAAATTTTCACAAATGTAAACTCAACAGCGTGCATGGTGTCATAACATTGTGCTGGTGCTGCAGGCATCCTTGTCACTGGGTTGTCGTACAAAA